TAGTCCCGGCAACTTGGCATTCCTGCCATGCTTGATAAAATAAAGATAATAAGGATAAGGATAAACAAAAAGAATATCCAAAAATTTTTTTGGAGAGAACAAAAATCAATGGCCATACTTTGTTAGCTAAGTCAAGTTCAAATGATAGTACATCCTCGTCCAATGGAACCATGTATAATGGGTACTCCCCAATGGTCACCAGGTCATGAACCTTCTCCTCCTCGAGTACCTGGGTTACCAAATACACTCTTTACAACCCTGAACAGGAACGTACATGAGATAACAATTCATAATGCAAATGGTGCCAACATATGAACTACCACTGAAACCATACCTTCTCACAAACAACCTCACGCCTAGGTACAAAATAAACGTAGTACTCCCTCTGAAGTCCTTTAGACGTATCATTATGAATATGTGAACATATGAATCTCATCAAACTAAACTCTGAACGAACAAGGTAAACCACTTTAGCACAATCAATGTCAACTGGTTCAGCTGAAAGATGCCGCAAATCAGCCCCATTTTCCTGTGTGTTCCCCATTACCAATCAACAACAACAGAATTTCTAAAATCAGCAATTAAGCTACACAATTACAATCCATCGAGCTAACAAAACTCACTAAAGAATTACAGGTTGGATTAATTTTTTTTACCTTAAGAATTGTTGATTTGATGATCAACGACAGTGATCCGCTAAGCTTTGGATCAATCACCAAACACTTCTTTCCTCGAATCTATTAAACTCGCAATCAAAATCAAAATTAGAATTCAATTAAACATCAGATTTCTCAAAATTCAGAACCCTAGCTAGAATCTGAATAGCAATGATCCACAATGTACAGAGAATTCCAAAACTCCGTTAAACTGAAGCAACTGATCTACAAGGAGCTTGAGAATTTGCATTTTCTCTTGTTTTTTGGTGAAAAACAGAGAACTTACGTTATTGAGGATGTTAACGAGCTCTCTCTGAGATTGTTCCCTGAAAAAAAAAGAATTGGAAATCTTGATTTCTAGATTAAAAAAAAAAAACAGAATAAAGGATCAATTATAATGATTAAGAATAATTAGCTAAACGACGATCACTGCTAACCTGATGGATTTTAAATTGAGAGGAGAGTTGTCTAAGTTAGGAATTTGAGACATTTTTTATAAATATATAATTGAGTGCGCCGAGAGTAAAATATCTCTTCGGCTTCTGTATCTCCGACAGGAAAACTGGGGGGAGGAGAGGAGAGGATATGATTGTGGGCTTAACGTTTTTATTCTTGGACTAGGTCGGTTGCTTGACTCGAAAGCTAAAAGATCTTGGACTCTGTTTTTGGGCTCTACTGGTGAAATGGACTTGGGTAACTGCACTGTGGCCTGTTTCGATTCAGAGAGATTAGACATCCATGAAGAATCTGCGCAACATAGAAGCCTTATGTTGATTTTTTGGCCTGGTGTTCCTTATGTTGATAAAATAATTAAATTATTTATAATATTTAAAAAATTAATTGAAAAATAATGGAATCCAGCGGGTTTTAAAATTTATTGGACAATTTTAGTTAAAATAAATTTAAAACCCACTTGCTGATTATAAAAAAGGCTCATTAAGTGTAAAAAAATAATTTAAATCAAGCTTATTCAATGTTAACAAATATAAAATCAAATTGAACCGATCTATTTAATTCCTTTTTATTTATAAGGGTGTAATATGCATGTGATGTAGCTGTAGTTGTACTAAGAGTTTGTATCTTCATTAGAGATTGCATTCTATTTTAATTAAAAAACAATAAAAAGTCTTTAAAATATAATAACTGAATTGTTCTCGCTTATCAGTGTCCAGATAACAAAACATCCTTTTTTATGTTCTAGATACAATGTCCGTGCTAGTTTTCGTTTGTAATGAGAGGTTCGAGAGTAAGTGAGATGCCTTGCGCTCCGCTTGTTAACGTCATGCACTGCATTAACATCACGTGTACTCAGAGAAGATTTTTGTTTTTTTTTTATGTGTAAAAATGTAGAAAAAATTATTTGGTTAACTATTTTGTATATAGTTACAGTTCATATCTTGAGTTTATTGTCTGCTTGGAATTGAATTTATTTTTTATTAAAATTTCAAAAAATCAATTACTTTTTACTATTTTTTTATTATTTTGATGTGTTAATATTAAAAATAAATTTATTAAAACTGTTTACGTGCATGGAATGTCAATCTATCACAAACAATCATTAAAACATGGGTTATTTTGATTTTTATTTATTTATTTCAATCCCTAAATTATATGATTTTTTATTGACATATTTCCCATCACATTTCATCGTTTGTCCTATTAAATAATATATGAGTCTCACATGTTTTACTATAATATCAAACTACCATAAAAAAAATTACAATAATTTAAAAAGTAACCCCATTGATACCATGAAAAGAAAAAAACTATTCACGACATGATAGAATTATTGCTGTCACTAAATTGACTCTTTATTATTTTTTATGACTTTTTTATATTTTTAAAAGAAAACATGTAATTCGCAGGAGACATTGAACAATTAAATTAGATAAAATATAATAAAAGGGGTGTCGATTAGAACAATTTATACTTGAATTCGAAAAAAGAAAAAAAAATAATTCAAAGGGCGTTTTATACGATTTAATCTAAAAGTTTTTACATGGATGCATTTTCCAGGGACACGTCAAGGATGCACACAAAATGTTTAAAACAAGATTATATAATCCATTAAACACACGCACCGTGATTAAAATATCACTGGATGTGCACATCATCAACGTCAATCGGATAAGCTATCTTTGTTTATTGTTTTACTTGAGGTTGATTAGTTGACTGGGATTTTTGCAGGATCCTTCTGCCAAACAGGTCCTTATCTCCTTCATGACCACGGTTGCCATGAAAAGTTCCGTTTTGACCTGATCACTTTTTCCAAGAAACCAGGGACCAGCACAGGCACAGCACGTAGGAAAAAGATTGCCACCATCACGGAATAACGCTGCCACGAGGCGTGAAGAGGTGCGTTCGCTCATTCAATTGTGAGGGGCGGGTCACGAGCTTATGGTGGCTCTTTTCGCTGTTTTTATCCGCTCCTTCCTTCTCTTTTTTACAGGGAGGGTGCACCCACATCCTGATCTCTGAAGACGAAGGTATTCAATTTTACCAAAAGCCCTTCTCGTATTTTTTTTATTCCATGCTTCGGCAATTTTGATACATCATTCGAGGAAATTAAAGGGTAATGCTCGTTTTTCTTGTTTGTTACATGTTTTTTTTGTTTTTTTTGGGTGCAAGTGTCAAGTTTGTACCTGCTCGAGCTCACAGAAATTCATAAATTATTTTAAAAAAAACTCAAAACTATGACCTTCATGTCCTTATTTTATTAAGATAATTCTAGTACATAATTACAAAACCAGATTTGAGGTGACACTAAATTTTTTAAAAGAAATTAAAATGATATCAAGAATTTTGATTTTTTAATTTTTTTATTTAAATAATAGATTTGAAGGTTTAGTTTTGACGTGATTAGCCTTAATATGAGTAGCTATACAGGTCAGTTTAAATTTTTTTGAAATAATTTTAATTGTTTTAATAAAAATAAACCCCTATACCTATCTATATCTTAGTTGATAGGACTCCAAATTAAGCAGTCAGGTTAACTAGGTTTTTAATTAGTATTAAAATACCATATATAATTTATCATTTCACTGTTTAACAAGCAATGTGGATGACAGGTATAGATTTGTAGTTGCAAGACAACCAACATATCATAGTATCGTTGCCTTCCATTAAGGTTTTACAATTAAGACTACTCTAAATCAATTTTAAGATATATCAAGAGATGTTTTTTTCTTTAATTATAACTGAGTCATTCTCATTCAGAGTCGTGAATTGGCAATTTCAAGAATTCCAGACTGCTGATAACATTCAAAATGACAATGCAAGGAGTAATCGAAAACACATGGATTAATTGAGAAATTAAATAAAAAGAACACAAATAGATTTAAAAAAATGAAAAACAAGTCTAAATTCGTAATTCACCTGCATTAGAAAATAGTTATTTGCACACTCTTATTATCATTTCCTTGCTTAAATGACTACGGTGCCTTTATTTTTACAAGTAATTTATTAGAGTTCCAAATAAACACTCATCCAACCTCAAAAATTCAATTTAGTTGATACCATTAAACCTATATGAGACCTAACTAAATTAATTTTAAAAACTCTTTTTTAGTTATTTTTTAGAAAAAACATCAATTTATTTTTTAAAATAAATTAGAATATTATTGCTTTAATATTAATTAATAAACCTTCATCCTGAGCATTGGCCTAATTTGACAACCTTGTCATATCCCTTCAACCTCCACTCATCATCTCAACCTTGATCTTTAAGATATTATTGTCATGGCACCACCATCATTATTATCTCTTATCACCTCCTTATCATGCAACTCGCTGAATGAGCTCATTAAGAGAATTTAAATTTTTTTTCTAGGGCTATCTATATATGGGAAAGATAAGGCTTCTTATGATATAATAGTATATTTTGTGTTTAGTTTTGGCCATAAATTTGAAAGTGTTTAATTAATTAATATACATTAAATTTTTGCATGGTTTCACTAAAACCCTCTTTTAAAATTCTTGTTTAAAAAAAAACTATAATTAATAGTTGTTTTAAAAAACCAGCACTTTCAAACCATAATCACAAAAACTATCACAGTATTAAACACACACTAAGTACTCGTTTGGTATTGAGATTGTACCTGCAATGCAACCTTGTTTTTTCAATGAAAAGCACTAAAATGATATTTTTCATTGAGAAACATAGGTTACACCGTATAATGCAACCTCATTGTCAAATGAAACATAAGTGGTGTTGTCATAGTTTGCTATTGCGGTATAACTATTGTTGATGGAGGTGTTGAAAAATTATTCAAATAACATGGTTAATTAACACATTTGATGTCATATTAAAAGCGAGGTTCCCTCGCTTCTAGGTTCAAAACTTTGTTGGAACCTGATCTTCAATATACACTTTTTAACATAGAACATTAACATACTTTAAATAAATTATGTGTGGATGTGAAATTGATTTTAAATAACCCTAGACTAACAATTTTTGGTAAAACCAAAATCCTTTAAAGAACTCTATCATACACTGAAATAAAACAAAACTTAAATGTTGTTCATATAATGAATAGTTTAAAAGTTTAGAATGGACCTAAAAGGCATCCGGGTTTTTAAATGGGAGATGGTCCAAGTAAAGTGAGTTTTAAGCTTAAAATCAAGTGTGTGCTAGCCCGTCTCAAGCCTGAGCATGGTTTTAAGTCTGAGTTCATTGTAAAATAATTTTTTGGCCCGTAAAAGAATTTTTTATCAACTTAGATTTGGACTTGAATTTGGTTCATGAAGAATTATTTTTTTCTAACCCATACCACTATTTTGTCTAACCTATGAAGGAAGCGTTTGGGAACGCATTCCCTAAAAAAAAAAAAATTATTTTTTTACTTGAAATTAATATATTTTTTAGTATTTTTAAATCATTTTGATGCGCTGATATCAAAAATAATTTTTTTTAAAAATAAAAAATAAATATTATTTTGATGCATTTTCGTGTGAAAAATACTTTAAAAAACAACAACAATCACACTCCTAAACACCCTCAAAATAAAGAATCTGATTAGTATTTTCAGCATGCTTTCAACGTAACTTTGATAGGTTTTTTCAACTCAAAAGATATTTATTTCATGATTATAATGCTCAAGTTTTATTGTGGATTTATAGTGGTCAACTAAAAGTCAATAATGCAAAACTAATTTTGGTTAATACCATGATTAATTCTTCAACTTTTGAAATAACTCATAAAAAGAGGATGGAAAAGGAGTTCAAAAGAATGTTTTTATTCATTTTACATTATATTTATCACCTCAATTTTTAGTGTTTTTTCCCTTATTTTTCAATTTTGTTTATCCATCTGAAATCTAAAGCTTATATCTATTTGTCTGAAAGGTTATCTAATGCATCCATATTGGTTCAAAAATCTTGTTTAGATGTGCTTCTAAACTAAGATATTGTTATTGAAATCTTAAAAGTTTTATTGCAAACAATATTTGAATAAAAAATGGAGCAATAAAGTTCCAAAGATAAATAATTCATCATTAATAACAACAAACTTCATTATTTAAAGTACTTCAACATGTAAATATATTTAATTTTAAACATAGATATATTATTTAACTAGTA